GTACACTGGATGTTTTCCTCCCTCTTTCTTCCACTTCTTAAGCTGCTGGAGCAGACCGAAGCTGCCAGTCGGAGCCAGACATCTGAGGGAACAAGCAGCCAAACCCACATGGGCAAAACTGGACCAAGCTGCCAGACACAACCGCTTCCAGCCCGGGCAAGGGCGATGCCGCAAGCTCCCAGCTCCCAGGGCATGCACCGGCGGGGGGGAAAACCACCAGTTAAAAGTGGTTGCTTGTGCTACCCGTTCCCAGCACAGCCTGTTTTGTCCGACTCGGACAGGGTGGTGATGTTAACATCACGTCATGGGGGTTTGGCTGCGTGCAGCTGTGCTGGTAACAGCCGGGAGGCCGGGCTCCTCCTCACACAGCCCTTTAAATTGACCCCATATGTGCCTTATTTTCCAGCTTGCTTTGTTAGCATTGAAATCAGTGACTCCCTTCTCCTCCAAAACAGGAAGCAACCTATAACACTGTAAAAATTAGGATTTGCCACACCTCTTCCGAGAGAGAAACATGCAAGAATAGCTCTGGTCTCTGTCCCAAACCCCTAGTCCAGCCAGTTCCCTGGAAAACTAGCACCACGCTTGTAGCATTCCTTCCCCCATCCAGGTACTTTTCCCAGCCCTCCTGCCTCCATGCTCACCAGGTGGGCAAAGCAGCCTCCTAAGCCTCCTCAGGCAGGCAGGAAAAGCTGCCCACACAGGGGCTCTTCCTGCGATCCAAAGGCACCCCGAGCCCGGGAGGAAGGGCGGTGCTGCCTGCAGAAATCGGGGAAAATAAAAAAAAATGAGAGCAAAGGGAAACACGCTGGGAGGTCAGAGGCTTACCCAAACAAGCAGGGGCATGGAGGCAGCCAGCGCTGCTGGAGCACAGCCTACCTGGCGTGGAGATGCCGGGCTCTGCATGGCTCACCTGCGAGAAGGTCTTTCTCTGGAAGGGTTCACAAGTGACGTTTCAGGTGAGGGCAACCAATTCCTACAAGAACCAGAGAACTATCCAGAAAACGTCTGTATTGCATCATACGTAACATCTCCAATCCAAGCTTTGGCACTCGAAGCCAGATGTGAATTTCCAGAACCAAAATCATCATTCAAACCCACCCCCGAGCTGGGCAAGAAGGCACCAGGATACAACCCTGCCCCGATCCATCCAACCAGTGGATGGTCCAAGTCTCTGCACCCTGTAAAGCACAGGGGCTGACTTGCTCAAGGGCTGCTGGTGTAGCCAAACCATCCACTGAATCTGCAGCTTCTTGAAACAAAAGCAAAAGAGCAGCAACAGCCCAAGGTGCACCAGGACCTGCCACCCAGCAGCGAGCCCGCAGCACCCACGCTAACGAGGCAGCAGGAGACACATGGTACAGAAACCCAGCTGCATGGGTCCCCGCTCTCCAAACACCTCTGCACTGCCCCCTCCAACTCCATTTCACTGTCCACCTTTTATTTTCCTAAAGTCCATGCAACAGGGGGGAAAAAAAGAAATAATTTTTTTTTTTTCAATTTTTTGTTTTAAAACCCAAAAATAAACGACTCTCAAACTGCAGACAAATGGCGTGTCTCTAGCTCTCAGTCATGTGTTTATTTTCCTGGGGAAATCTTTCTTGTCTCTGCATCCTGGCCCGAGATAAGACACGGGGAGAGCTCAGCGGGCAGAGGCTGTGCAGTCTGTGCCTGCAGCCAGCTGCGCAGCTCGGAGACGTTTTCTTAAAGAAACAGCTTAGCTTAATCGCCGGGAGGATGCAGGGAGCCGAGGATGTGGAGGAGGCAGGTGGTGAAGAGGCATGCAGGGCCGCAGCTACAAATGGCCCACACACACTTTTTGGGGGGAAAGGAACAAGCAGTGCCCACCTCACTTCTCTCCAGGTGGCAGCCCAGCACACCAGATTCAGGGCCAGGTGTTCCTGGGTAGCGTGGGCTGCAGAGGGAAAAGGAGGTTCCTGGGTCAGGGTCGAGGTCAAGTTGAGCATCCTGGAGCATCATCCAGGGATTGAGGGGATGCAAAAATTGCCCCCGCAGGCCCCTGAAACCCCATTAGGAGGGGAGAATGGGACCTTCAGTGACTATTCCTCTATTTATTCAGCCAGCAAAGCCTAGAGCAGTGAGCGAAGTGACGTTGCTGCTTTCCAAGTGCAGTAAGACTCTCCTGTCTTCTCTCCGAATTATACCATTCGGAGCGCAACACCATTGGGAAGAGGCATGCCTTCTCCCTGCTCCTTCTCCTGGGTCAGTGCTGGGACAGTGGGAGGTGGGTGAAGAACCCACCACCTCTCCCCCAGCAGCGGTATTTTGCTGGGGTCCCATGCTGCACCCCAAATGTATCACAGCAGATAAGTCCTGACTCCAGGGGCCCAGAAACGGGACAGTCCCCACCACCACAGTGATGCCAAGGCAGAGAGAATCCTTCTGGGATTCAAGTTTTGCCCCTGGGCACGTTGCAAACCTCAGTGGCTGTAAATTTAAGTGATCTCAGGGGAAGGCAGAGGTTTCGAGAAGCTGTTTTGGCCCCCCTGTGGCATCACCATGACAGCCTGGGTATTGCAGCAAAACAAAGGTAGTAAGAGGATGTGAAATTTTTATGGGACTACCTCAACCAGCCTGAGCCTTGAAACCAGAACGGCCAGTTCCTGAAGGCAAAACAAACTGCATTATCTGAGCAGTCCTGAGCTTCCAAAGGTGTAGCAGGGACTCTGGTTAACCCCAAAAAGGTGTTTCCGCAGAGGCCAGGAAGTTTCTCCTGCACTAGCACGAAGAGATGATGCCATCCTCTGGCTGTTTGGAAATACTGACTTCCCACAGTGCTTTTCCAGACGCTGCCTCTTTGACTGCCCTTCCCGGTGAAAAAGAGGGGCCTGTACTTAGGAAAGACAAGAAAACCCTCCTCAGAAACCGCAGATAAAGCATCTTGTTTGCCTTTGTCTCTGAAATACAAAGTTCATGCCGCTTATGAGAATATTCCCGGCTCTCAGGTAAGATCCAGCTCTGGAAGGGGACCGTGCTTTGCTCCTCAGGTTTGCACAGGAAAGAGCTGCTGGGCACAATCCTGCCTGCTGCTCTTTAGAGCGTACGTTTACTTTTAGAGTGGCTGTGGGTGAGGTTAGTCCTCCGGTCTCCCTTGGTCACCTCCTTGATGTCTACACCGTGCCAACTGAAGAACACAGTGAAACCTGCCCTTGCCTACAGACAAGTGGGCAACGGGGAGAAATCACCGCAGTAAAGAACCCTCGCCGTGTTCCTGTGTCCTTCTCTCATGCTTTTAGCACAGAGCCTGCAAAACACTTCAAGTGCAATTCTCCTTTCCTCTCCTCCCTCCATCAGTCCTCTCCTTCCCCCGTGCTGGCACCTGGATATCCTAACGCAGCTCCGCTGAGTCTCTGCCTGCCCACCCATGAAGTGGCGCAGCACTGAAAGTACCATGAAGAATTTAGTACTCACCTTTGAGATGGCTCTCTACCTTGCCCTCCTCAGCCAGGTCCTGGCAGCCACAGCTCAGTTAATTGCTTTGCAGTGTTCAGCCATGAAGGGATCACATAGTGCCCCCCATCCCGTTTTGGGGCGGACTCCAAAGACCTAATTTTCACAGCCCCAGTCTTTCCACATCGCTCCAGCAACACTAAGGGCCCGGGTATCGCTCCATCTTTGTAAATGAAGGTTTAGTTTAAATCGGGGGAAAAAAAAATTATTCTGCCACCCAAAGCAAAGGAGACAGAAATATTTTAAGACCTCCTTTATTTGCCCAAAGATCTGGGAAGGATTTTTTAAAATGTATTGCTCAGCGCTGGGGTAGAAAAGGCCATTAAGACATAAGACAATCATGTTCCAATCTGCTCAGACAAGGAAGCCTTTGAGCAAGCATCATTCAGTGAGCTCATGCTCCTTCCCTGGCTGTAGCTGGTGGCCCAGAATTTTAATATCTGCTCAGGGAAAGAAAATAACTCTCAGCTTTATGGCTGTGAGGGAAAAAAAAAAAAAAAAGGAGCTGAATGTGCACCCATGCCCTGGGTCCCACCTGAATCTGCAGAAAGCCCAAAAGAAAAGCCTGATGGAGAGAGGTTGCAGGATCGGTTTAACTCAGGAGATGTTAATTTTAGAGGCGGATGACAAGCGTTGTCCTTTCAGCATCACTAGCAACCACACTGCTAATGAAAAAGCAGAAGGCAGCAGATGGGACAGTCACATAGAGAATTTTGTTCATGGTCTGTAAGTGGCCTCTTAGGCAAGCGGTACGCAGGGGCTTGGGATGGCGAGCAGAGCTTGGAGGAACAGAGCCCTTACACTCATCTTCTTCTGGGCCTCACCCAGGAGTGTGAACACTAACTCACTGCATGGCTCCTCAGGGTTTTCTTTGGGCTGGGAAATAAAGAGACAAGGAAAATATAGAGCAAATCACCCAGAGAGATACGATACTGAGGGCTGAGGAACCCAGACTACAGACCTCACTTGGGTTAACGAGCCTTGCCAGCAGTCTGACATTTCCCAAAACCCAGCTCTTTGACTAGAGGAAGAGCAGGGAAGGTGCCCCAAATTACGAGCAGAACGGAAAAAGAGGACCACACACCAAGACAGGGAGAGGAGATGGTCTCAGGAAAGCACTCTCTGATGTAAATTAAGGAGCTATTATTTTTTAGTGGGATCAAAGTTAATTTTTTGAAGTCTGAAGTGGATGGCACCAGAAAATGACAGAATTCAGACGAGTTAGCAGCCTGGGTTTTGAGAAACATGATCATGTGTCAAAATTTGTTTTATGTAAAGTTCATGTAAGTTGCATACACTGGATCAAGCAGGTCCTTGTTCTGTTTAGCCAACCAGAGGAGCTACAAGCTGGGTGCTCCCCACAAGCCCCCCTCAAAGGCTGGAAGCAGGCTGGGCTGCAGATCCAGGGGTCCCTGGGTGCACATCAGTCAGCGATTTTCTCCGATGTACTGGAGAAAGCTGTTTGAATCTAACTTTGCTAACAAATACTGAATCATTATCTTTGAGTACTGCCCTGCACAGAGTTTGATTTAAGCCCTAATCTTCTTCCTCTTCCCTGATAGACACCTCTTCTTCCTCCCCAGGATTGGCTTGTTACTGGAAGACTGAGGACGAATCTTCATCTCAGTAAAAGGGATGGAGAATTCACGGCCTTTCCATGGCTCCCAGTTCACACCCTGGGAAAAGAGCAAGGAATTTCTTTTATTAAAGCCCCCAGACCAATTGTTAGGAGTCTACTCCCCTCTAAAACCATCTAACCCCCCAATAAACAGAAACACTATTGTTCACTAGATTCTGACTGTAATTATAATCAGTACTCCAGACACTCCTAATATAAATCAAATCTTTATCTAGTTTGGAACACAACAAGACTGAGCCATCTTCAAGCCCAAAACAAGCCTGTACAATGAGATGCACACCAAGGCAAGCCAAGGTACAGGCTGCCCGAGACAGTGAGCCAGCATCCTAGTGCGGAACCTAGTGAGGGTTCTTTTATGTGTCCCCCTCAGAAATCAAGCTCCACCTCAAGTATCTCTGCCCACAAGAATCAGGGGGTCATGAGCTCAAGTCCTCTGGATCCACGAAGGACAGAGTAAGAACTAAAAGTTTCCTTAAGGATTCCTTTCAAATTAAATGAGTTAGGACAGCCTGGGCAATCTCTTCTGCTCCAAGGAGAGACATCCCCACCATGTGTTTTCTCAAGGCTAGGAGAAGAACTGATCGCCAGATAGAGCTCTGCCACTCACCTCACTGTGCTTGCTCTCCCCGTATTTCCCATTGAGGTTGGCCAAGTGACAGTTCTTGTACCACCATGCACCATGGTGTGTCAGAGCACAGTTGCTGCGAGCCACGTCATTGTCTCTGTCCCACGTGGTGAACTTGCAGCCATTGTGGTAGGTCATTGCATCCCCTAAGGGAAGGGATGAGAGACATGAATTAGGGGTAAGAGGCTACAGTTGCTCAGCTAAGGGCTCTGCCTTCAGGCAGAACAGAGCATGCCTGTCCAGGGAAAAGTAACAGCACAGGATGGGTCTGAACAATTTCTAATTAAGGGCTGCTATTAGAGGGCATGTCTGAGGGCTGGATTCCCCCCAGCTGAAGATCTAAGCCTTATGGCAAGAGGATATTAAAGGATAAGTGGAATACTATGGACACAATGGCAACAGTAAGGATTTACCAGTGACAGAAGCCAGCACCAGGATGGCTACTGCTGTTGAGCAAATGTCCATCCTGAAGAAAAGCCGCTTTTCATAGAATCATAGAACGGTTTGGGTTGGAAGGGACCTTCAAGACCATTTAGTTCCGACACCACTGCCATGGGCAGGGACACCTTCCACCAGATCAGGCTGCTCAAAGCCCCATCCAGTCTGGCCTTGAACACTCCCAGGGATGGGGCAGTCACAATTCCTCTGGGCAACCTGTTCCAGTGCCTCATCACCCTCAGAGGGAAGAATTTCTTCCTTAGATCTAATCTAAATCTCCCCTCTTTCAGTTTAAAGCCATTGCCCCTTGTCCTGTCACTACACACCCTTGTCCAAAGCCCCTCTCCAGCTTTCTTGTAGCCCCTTTAGGTACTGGAAAGCTGCTACAAGGTCTTCCCAGAGCCTTCTCTTCTCCAGGCTGAACAACCCCAACTCTCTCAGCCTGTCTTCATAGCAGAGGTGCTCCAGCCCTCGGATCATCTTTGTGGCTCTCCTCTAGACCCTCTCCAACAGCTCCATGTCCTTTTGATGTTGGAGGCTGTGGAGCTGAACGCAGTACTACAGGTGGGGGTCTTTGCACTTCTCAGCTGAGGAGCCCCAGAAGTCACTCCCCCATCAGCACAGGTTACCTCGTGGAAACACTTCCCAGTCTGCCTTCTCAGTTGGTATTTCACTGGGTTATAGAGCCCTCTCTTCCCCATGAAAAAGCAACTCTTTCTCCTGTCTTCAACAGGAGACGGGCCTGTGGGCACACTCTCCTCAGTCTTCCCAGGAGGTACACACGTCTCTCCTCAAAGAGAACCACATTTGATCTAACCTGACCTAAGGAGCTCCCACGCTACCAGCAAAACAAATACACGGGTCCCAGCATTTGCTTCCCCAGGCAAAGCAGAGACAGCAGAAATACGAGGCACTCCTCACCAGCATCGCCTCTGTAATTCCCCACCGACAGCCTGTAGCTGTTTCTGCGCGAGGCAACCTGGAAGAAGTCGTAGACGGCGTAGACGGATTCACTGGCTGTCCGCAAATCCACCCGGAGCTCATAGCGGATGGGGCTCCTGCTCGTGAGATCGTGCAGCTTGTTGAGACCTAGAAGAAAAAAAAGAATTTCTCTTAAAAGGGAAAAGCCTGTTCACCTTCGCAGTGCTAGACTCATTCCCTGTGGCCATTTTTGTTATATCAGCTATTTCCTGCCTCCCTCCTTCCTTGCTTGATGGTGCCCTGACATTTTGCCAAGTTTATTCCATTCCATCTCATTTTCTGACAAGAGACAGCAGTATCAGAAAAAAACAAACAGCCTAAACCAGTGCGAGACGGGCCGTAATGCAACATTATTTTTCCCAGAACATTTAAAGACTCTTGCTCCAAAGACCTTGACGTATTTAGTGCTGGATTCTCCAATCCACACAGAGTTCTCTAACAGAACAAGACAGACAAAAAATGACCTAATACACCGAGTTTTGTGTAGTATCCTGGGCTTTGCATTTTCACAAACGCAATTTCTTTATTTTTCCTCTCATAGGAATGCAGAAGCCTGAAATAAACCTTTCCAGAGTTTGGCTTGCTCTGAGGCTGCTCCAAAGCCCAAACACGCCAGCGGAAAGACTTAGTGGGCCCTTAGAGATCCCTCAATGCTTCACTGGCACTGCTAGGGAAGACACAAAAACTGACAGTTCCAGACCACGGGCTCGAGGGGGTTGGATATTTCAGCATTTAGGTGCTTCTACAAAGCTAATCTTCAGCTCTTCACCCATCACACCCTTGTACTGTACCAAGCCAGAATTCCCCGGTGGGATCTCCAAAGCCTTTCACATAGTTTTTCCAGCGTTTGTAGAAGTCCAGCTCGCCAGTGCTCCGCCTCTGAAACACCTGCAAAGCAAAGAGATGGCTGTGTGAGAGTTCACGACAGGCTTAAGAGAGACAAGAAGGATGGGGGTGAGAAATGCTTATCCCGATTCAAACAGGCAAAAAGGTGAGGCATTCAGGAACAGACAACTCTAGCTGATGGTACACTGCACCTGAGCAGGGTATGCACAGGAATCCGTTTCCATTTTCTGCCTGCACAAAAGCACCTGGAGTGAATTCTTAATTGTGCAAATTTTACAGTTTACTTTCCACAGGTGCCTATGGACAGCACAAAGCTGGGCATGATCTAAACTCCCAGATAAAACAGGCTGAGGGACAAGATCCACAGAGACATGGGTTTCTAAACTTCACCAAAAGCAGAGGCAGTAACGTGCAGCAATTTATTTCAGTGAATAAAAACACTTCTCACTGAAAACGAAAAGTGAAGAAGGGAATAAAGCTATTTTTATTTGGTTGTTTAGGAATGCAGCTATCAGAGAACCTCCAATTCACTATTTCATGTTCATACACATTCCTCACCTCAAAGCATCTGTGCTTCTGCCTCCAGATTCCCTTGAGCCACTCAACAACTACTGTGCAGGCAGGGTCCGGGTGCGTGCTCACAGCACCAGCATTTAAAATACCAACAGGCATCAGCTGAACTGCATTAACTGTCCATATACGTAACCTCATACTGTGGTCAAGACGAGATAATGGAGCTGAGTTAACTCATTATGAAAGGTAGTTAAGCAGAGCTGTACTACCTGTTTTTAGGACAGGGCTGAATGCCCCCTCACATACAACTCCCATGACCCGACTGGCAAGAAGTGACACGTTAAGCTGTCGTAACTCAGTCATCGCCCTCCATAAGCAATTATACAAGCCTGTGTGGCATTCATGATCAAACAACAAAAAAAGACTTTGAGCTGTTTAGCATCCCACAGCATTCCTGGCAGTCTGAGGGGGTACATGTGCATCCACCACCCATCCTAAAACATGCCACTCCATTAACGCAGGAGCTGGAACATGGTAGTGGAGTAGAGCAAAGGGAACCTCAGCTAACACGAGTTCCAGGTCTAATTGATAATATTCATTTAAAAAAGTGAAAAGGAGCAGAGAATCACTCACTATCCACCCGCCTCCATCAGTGGTCATGTCGCAGTACACCTCCATCGGCCGGCTGCAGTCCCTGTTCAGGTAAATGGTGTACATGCCGCTGGAGGCATTTCTGTTCTGCTGCACCTGGCTGCAGTCCGCGGGGTACGGGTAGAGGAAGCTAACTGTGAGAACGGAGAGGGCAAAACCTCACGTCAGCAAAGCAGGCCACAGAGCTGGAGGAGGCATTTCACACCCTTAGGAATGTCCTACAGACAATGGTACTGGAAGAGAAGTAAAGAAAGCAGCAGCCCCCACCGTGCACTTGCACAGTGCCCAGTTGCATTGGCAGGTTGCTGCTGGCAGCCTTT